AGCAGTGTTCGATATTATATTACAGACCTATTAAGTATATATATTAATAAATATGCATATTATCCTGCGCCATTTGGGGAAAATTCTTGATTGATTGACTGAGTTTAGGAAACTCAAAGAAGCCAGATGGAGCTAAGTGTGGTGAGTAAGTGGGATGAGGTTGCAATTCAAAGGTACGTTTAACTGCAACCTGAGCAGTATGAAAGGGTGCGTTATCCTGGAGCAAGACCACACAATTCCTCGGCTTCCCTCTGCGTTTGAACTTGATTTCTTCCTTCTGTTGTTTTTTCTGATGCATAGTACACTGTCTATTAATGGTCTTTACCTTTTCCAGGTAGTCTCTCAGGAATATGCCTTCAGAATAAAAAAAGAACCAGAAGCCATCAACTTACCAACAGACGCTACCTGGTTGAACTTCGGGTGAGTAGAACTTTGTTTCCACTGTTTGCTTTCAATCAATTGATTCAGGTTCCAAGTGGTGAACCCATGATTCATCTTGAGTTGCTAATCTACAGTGGAAATTCTCAGGGTGAACCTGGAAACGAATCAGAAGTGTCCTCGAAGGATCAACACCTTCTGCTCTCGTGTCAAAATTCTTGGGACCCATCTGGCAGACAGCTTGCTCATCCTGAAGATCTCAGTTAAAACAGCATGGACTGAACCAGAATTAATGACTATGGAGTTAGATATCTACTGGAGAGTAAGACGTCCGTCATTTAAAAGAATACAATGAATGATATCATCAGTGGCTGAAGTTATTTTGGACGATCTGACCGAGGGTCATCTTTTGTGCTGTTGCTACCCTGCTTAAATTCCGCTGCCCACTTTCCACAGTTGTATAGAAAGAGTGTCCTCATCATGTGTCTGCTCCATGTCTTCATGGACTTCATTGGGTGTCATATCTTTCTTTTGCAGATAATTTATGACTGCTCTCTTCTCTGTTTTATCCATTTTTAGATTTGTCGCACACCCCTCACATTTAGGCGAGCTTCACCTACACAGAAATTAAGAGAGAAATTTGAATTAATTTTTCTAGTTTTATAAGACGTGGTAGTGTGTTGCCATAACAAATATGTTCAGCTATGGGTCTTCTTCGTGGGTGAGGCTTAGAACTTTTTGAACGACCCTCGTATATATATCTATACCTATATCTATCTATCTATCTATCTATCTATCTATATATATATATATATATATATATATATATATATATATATATATATATGTATATATATATATATATATATATATATATATATATATATATAATTATTGATTTAAAAATATGATTCCAACTCGCGATATAAGAGGTCTCATGTTTCAAAACAAGAGCCGAAAACTTCAATATAATTATTTGAATTAAATTGAATTAAAGTAAGCTCTGTTCCATCTTCAAGCGAAATTTTTTTTTTGCGGGAGGAATAACGTATTTCTGAAATTTACGTGTTTTAATAATTGAAATCAAAATCAAAATTTCCATGGTAACAGCTAGGGCAAATTGTTTAAATTGGGTAGGCGTGTGTTGGGTGTTAATAATAAGTATCAGTATAGAGTTACTTTCATAGATGTCAAGTCAGGGAAAGGTGGGGGTGTCTAAATTTGAAACGGAAGAATATATATATATATATATATGTTTTTGATTTGCCAATAATCAAATCAATCACGAAGGAAAGAAAGTTTTTAAAAAAAGAAATAGCTAGAAACGTGAAAATCTGTCGAAAAAAATCGCACAGATGCAAGTTTAAAGCCCAAAGAAAAAACTCCGACTCGAGTAAACAACTAACTAACAAAAGAGCTCAATACAACCGTAGAGCAGACCTAGATAAACCTAGTGAGCCAGACAATCCTACCTAGGTTTCACCTAAACGGATAGTCAGGGATCCTTTATATGAAAACCTGGGTAGCTTTGTCTGGCTCATTAGGTTTTTATATATATATATATATATATATATATATATACCAATCTATCTACCTCCTGTCTCTCTTTCTTCCTCTCTTTATATTATATATATATATATATATATATATATATATATATATATTATAAATTAATTGATTTAAAAATATGTTTCTTTCGCTATACAGTTATAACCATGTTTCAAAAATGGAAGCTGAAAGCTCCTAATTTAATTTTGGCATTAAATTAAAGACATTAGTTCCATTTCATCCTTAAGCGAATTTTGGAGTAACTTTTAAAATTAGAAATGTGTAGCGAAACAAAACATATTTTAAATCAATTAATTTATAATATTAATGCTCTGTAAATTTACATTGAGCACTATTTTGTAAAAATAAAAATATCTATAAGAACACCGGATTATTTATCTTACTGTTCTTTCTTTATATATATATATATAGTTGTATATTTAGGCAGCAATCCTTCGTTTATGTATGTTTCATTAAAAACGACAGATAAGGCACTACGGCTAAGCTTTTTATTTAATTTTTCATGTGTTCGAACAAGAGCTTTCTTTTCTGGACAAAGGGTGTGTAAGAACTTTCTAAACGTTTAATAGTTCCGAGCGCTTTCGGCTATGCGTTTAGCCATTATCAAGGATGATCAATTTTTCAGCTTAATTGGATGTGTGCATTATGTGTATGTTTTAATGTGTTGTAGAGATGTTTTTAATTTCCGAATACGGTTAGCACATTGTGGCCTTGTTCGTAGTTAATATTCTTAAGTGCTGGCTTTTTCTTTTTTATTATTAAAGCTTCCATTATTTTTAATCCTTTTTTTTTATCTTTTTTTAATCTTTTTTTACATGTGGTTTGAAGTTATTATATTTAATATATATAATGTGTATTTGAGCAGCAACCATTCTTTCTGGGGTTAAAAAATATAGAAATTGTACATAGTTATAATTGTTCCGAGCGCTTTCGGCTAGTCATCTATAGACATTATATAGGATGTTGTTTTTTGATAGAGAATTCCGTGTGTTAACTTCAACGTAGCTGTGTAGAGTACGTGCGGTGGGGTATCCTTTCGGCGGTCACGTGCTATTAGAAATTGCAAATGGTTGACATGGGCATCACTTCTATTGTTAGAAAACCTTTAACATGTTGTCTCCACTGCTAAACAGTGTAAGATTGATAGCAGGAGAACGGTATTTAATTAGCAATGCTTCCCTAATAATGACTTGTCCACCACTATACAATTTGAAAAGAATTTTTGTGTTATGAACTAGAATTTTTCTTAAAGGTTCTTATAAATTATGAGTTAACAAATGAACCATATTAAACAAATACTAGTCAACAATAATTTTTCCAACTAGACCATTAATAAGCAAATAAAATTATTCTTACAAAAATACACGACACCAGTAACAAAAATACAACACCACAAAACATCAATATATTTTATTGAAACCAAATGCACAATAATTATAAGCAAGATGAATTTGCTATAAGGAAATTCAGTAAACACCCTATTTCTGCTGTAACCCCTGAAAAACATATAAAGTTCATAATATATTATATAAAATGGAAGACCGCAAAACTTGTCATTACCGACCGAAATCTAAACTAGCGGCGACTAATATAGCGTACCAATTAAAATGCACTATGCAATATTGTTTTACTTGCCAAATATCAATTACCTATGTCGGACACACTACTACCTCCTTAAGTAGATGTCTTACATGTCACCTTTTGAAGCAGAGTGCGATTAATAAACATTTACTAACTCATAATTTACAAGAATCTTTAAGGAAATATTTATCTATTATTTACATTGCAATTATATATATATATATATATATATATATATATATATATATATATATATATATATATATATATATAATACTCTTACAAACTTACTAAGCCGGCATTTCTCGTAATTAAAGAAGAAAGAAAATGAGTGACTTTTAAAAAAAGCTGTTAATATTTATTCTTTTTAATATTCGTTTATACTTCTTTAATAATAATATCACGTGACCTCTACAAATAATGCAAAATTTTAAAAGATTTAAAAGCTTATAAATTATTCTAATTAAAATTTTGAAATTTTAATTCTTGTAAAAATTTATTATTCATCGAAAAACATTTTTCTTTCATGAGACATAAGTGTTCGTAATGTATTTTGTTCATAAAGGTTTTCCTAATTAGGTTATGTGTTAGTTTAAATTTTATAGTATTTTTTTTTTATTTTACGATTCAAAATAGATTTTCTGCAACTGTTAGTCCTGTTTGACCCCGCCAGCAAAAAATAAATAAATAAATAAAACTTGTCCTTATAAAACTAATATAAAAAATAAATCCTACAAAAAAGAATAGCTCGTAATGTCATAAAAGTAAATAAGTGTGTGTGTTTGTGTGTGTGGAGGGGGTACAATAAATATAAAAGAAATATTTTTACCAAAATTTTCTGAAAAGAAGCGTTTCAGAACTAATTTAATTCATCTGTGAATAAGTCCTCAAAATGTTTCATAAAAAAACCCGATAATTATCTGATTTTAGAAAGAATTTCTAAATCAGTGTTTTTCACCGCAAAAAGAGGTTCACATATCGCATACGAATTTTCGAAGGTTCTAAAAAGCACGAAAAAATAATTTTCATATGATTTTTTGGTCTTTCCTTTTAACAATAACAAGATTTTGACGGTATGAACAAACTGAGCTAGATAGATAGATAGATAGATAGATAGATAGATAGATAGATAGATAGATAGATAGATAGATAGAAATTAATAGACTAAGGAATAAAGAAAGAGAAAAAGAAATACAAGAACGACAAACATGCCCCCACCACTTGACCGACTCCACGTTCTCCAAATAATCCGAGAGATGCAAACACAGTAAAATAATCAAGGCGGTTAAATAAAATAAATTAGAAATAAAACAGAAAAGAAGTAAAGAAGAAAAAAAAAGAATAAAAGACCCCTTCACTTCGTCGATTGTTGGATTTACGGAGAAAGAATATACAAAACTCACTATCAGGTGTGTTTGAGCAAAACTACCCGGGGCAGGCGTGAGAATTCGCCAAACAGGGACGGGCGGCGAATGGGGTTTCAAGAATGAAAAACTGCGCGTTTTGAGGTGTACATTCTTACAGCAGAGTGGATGTTCATTTCAGTAACCATATCTATCTATCTATCTATCTATCTATCTATCTATCTATCTTAGTCTGTTCATATATTTCTTTCTATCTATCTATCTATCTATTTATCTATCTATCTATCTATCTATCTATCTAGCTCAGCTGTTTCTTATCTATCTATCCATCTATTTCAATCTATCTATCTATCTTTCTATCTATCTATCTATCTATCTATCTATCTTAGTCTGTTCATATCTTTCTTTCTTTCTTTCTTATCTATCTATCTATCTATCTATCTATCTATCTCTCTCTCTCTCTCTCTATATATATATATATATATATATATGTTTGTCCATATCTATTTAAGCCGATTCATATCTATCTATACATCTATTTAAGCCTATCTATCTATCTATCTATCTATCTTAGTCTGTTCATATCTTTCTTTCTATCTATCTATCTATCTATCTATCTATCTATCTCTCTCTCTATATATATATATATATGTTTGTCCATATCTATTTAAGCCGATTCATATCTATCTATACATCTATTTAAGCCTATCTATCTATCTATCTATCTATCAATCAATCTATCTATCTATTTGTCTCTTCATTTCTATGTATTTATTTCAGCCGATTCATATCTATCTATCTTTTCAGCCTAATCCTATCTATTTATTTCTCTCTCTGTCTCTCTCTTATATATATATATATATATATATATATATATATATATATATATATATATATATATATATCCGCTTATTTAAATCTATCTAGTTAACTAGCTAGCTCATTGCTAACCATTTTAACTTACTCATATCTATCTGTCTATCTACCTATCTTTATTGTCTTCTTTTTTTTTCACTAAGTAAGGCGAGTAGATTTATTCATGGACTCATGGACGTGTACACAATCAATGACGGTGTCGTGGGAGGTGGCTTGGCTTAAGCGAAGGACAACAGCACGTTCTTGTGTTTTCGTCCACGACCCAACTATCGGACAAATATTTTCTGCCTACAATACATATTAAATTAAACAATTTCTTTCGTCTCGCTTGTGGGCAATTGCCGTATATTACTGGACAGTGGCCGATACCTCAATCCTTGACTGACCCCCGATCCACAAATGTAATATGAAAACAATAAAGGATACGTGTTTCCGCATCCGGTTCGGTATGGAGGTGGGGCAATTCTTAATTATTAACCCGGAAGCACACCTGCAGATAACACACTTTACAAAAACGGTACAGGTGTCTTGTTTCCCTTCACGCATTGTCCGTAAAACACAAAGTACTAGCTATATATATATATATATATATATATATATATATATATATATATATATATATATATATATATATATATATTCTATTGATATAAATAAAATCTCTTGGGTTAGCCACAATAGTGTTGCCTACAGCGATCTTGTCTGTCAAAAAGGCGATATGTATATTGAATACTACCCGCACTTGGTGCCCTACTATGGGGGCCTTCTACTTCTATGTGCCGTGTCCACAATTTTCTGTTTGCTGCATCTCTATCTATAAAAGGCAGGATGTGTTTGTGTGTGTGTGTGTGTGTAACGAATGCACAGCCGCAATTTTCGACGGATTTGCACCAAAATTAACATGCACATACTCCAGGTCAGTGTAAAGGCCAAGACCGACTTTGCATTTGCCAACTCCTATCGATAGTGGAAATAGTCGATTTTTTCATGCTACTCCGGCAGTTTTCATGTAGTTTGCGGCCATTTTCTACTGGCCAGAGTGAGAGCCTATTGCTGGCTGCCACGAATAGACAGGAAGATTCTACTGGCCAGCGTGAGAGCCAACAGCTGACTGACACGAATGTTAAATAGCATGCTAGCATACAAAAGAAAATCGATAGCTGCATTCGTCACAAGTGGGAAAAATTTAAATCTGCATGGCACTTTACTCTAATTGGCTCATTCGCTTGCTTAAACTCAATGTTGATTCTGATTCCGCAGAACTGGGTTGGGTGTGAAAAAGTATTTTTTGTGTTAACATTCTTTTTCATTCGGTTTTCCATTTACGAGTCCTTTTTTAAAGCTGATCGTTTTGTGTTCATTTTGTTTAGTTCTTTTTTCGTAACAGATTTTATGTTTAGTATAGAGCTTAGAAAAAATTCGCAGTGTGAGATAGGCAAGATGTAAGGCATGTAGCAACATCAGCACGGCGAAGAGCACTTCTCTTAAAAGGCAGGAAGGACAAAAATATTTTAAGTCAAGTGATAGCGATTGCTGTATGAGTCGTACGATTTTGAATCAAGCACAGGCAACGCCAGGCCATGATGGTAGTGTATATATATATATATATATATATATATATATATATATATATAAATATATTTTTATGTTTATACATTCTTTTTATAGATACAAATATTTAAGTAAATGCTCTGTTTATGATAAACAGTATTAAACAACATTTACCGGCCTGAATGTCCGAGAAATTTTCACAGAAAATGTTCTCCTCCGACATGATTCGAAACTGTATCCTATACGGAACCATCATTTAGTTTGACGTTTCTTAACCGACTTCGGTACAGAGGAGCGTTCGGTTAGCAAGGTCGAATTTACTGTCTTTAAACTTCAATCTTCTATGAATCTCTCACGTACATTCATATCTGCTCATGGCGTATCAAATGTAAACAAATGACGTCACACATTATGAAATGGACAAAGTCCGACTAGTATTTTAAGACATTTTTATATTTATACATCCTTTTTATAGATAAAATATTTAATTAGATTCTCTGTTTATAATAAACAGTATTAAAAAACATTTACCGGCCTGAATGTTGTTTAATACTGTTTATTATAAACAGAGCATTTACTCATCATAATAATATGTGCAGGTGTCTGGCTGACGGTTCCTTGGAACTGAGTCGCTTGTCATATGTCAGGAGAGTCCACCATATATATATATATATATATAGAGAGAAAGAGAGAGAGGGAGAGATAGAGAGAGAGAAAGAGAGAGGGGGGATATATAAGTAGATAGTTGAATCTGAACAAACTCAGATACATATTAATAGACTGAGAGACCCGTATCTTAACAGAATGAGATAGATAGATAGATAGATAGATAGATAGATAGTGTTGAATCTGAACAAACTGAGATAGATAGATAGATAGATAGATAGATAGATAGATAGATAGATAGATAATGCCATCTCCCTTCAGGACAACATGAGCCTTTCTTATCTGTGAATTGAATATACATTCTTAGAATATTCTTCAAAAAGAATATACATTCTTGGAAAATATAGTTCTGCGTTGACTTCTCCGGAGTTTATAATTCAGAGTCTCCCTATTTGAGGCTTTTTGGCCCCCAAAGTTAGTGATCTCAGTTTTCCATGCTATTAAATCCTGATTTAGTGGAGAGAAAAGAGAGATTCACGTCATTACTCGTGTCATTTGTGTAAAAGTGAAACCGACACTGCGTATATATTTTAGCGAAAAGATAAAAGAAGCGGAATAATATTGAATTTTAGATGCTTCGATTGTCCATTGCTTTTTCGCAAATGGATTACGGCGTCTTCATGACGACAAGGAAGAAGGCAAGTGTCTGGAGAAGAGGAAAAAGAAAAAAGAATGAAATGAAAAGAGAAGAGAAATCAGGGGAAGCGAAAACTAAGGGAACTACACAAAAATGCGTCGGAAAAAAAGAGAGAGAAGAGTGGAGAAGAGAAGTGCTGAAGAGAGGAAAAGCTAAAATAAAGGAATGACTGAGAGAAACAGGAAGGAAGAAGGATAAAAAGAAAAGGTAAGAAAAGAAAAAAAAAGAAAGAAGAAAGAAGAAAAATTTTAGGGGTAAATTTAACTGAACAAAAACGAACAACAAAAGAAAAAATTTGTAAGTAGTGTTAAGAAAGAAAGAAAGAAAAAGAAAGAAAAGAAAGCACTAAAAAGAATAAAGAAAGAAAAAAATTAGAAAAAAGAAAGAAAAAGAAAGAAAGTGGCACTAAAAAAAAGAAGAAAGAAAAAAAAAAAGAAAGAAAGAAAGAAAAAAAAGAAAGAAAGAAGAAAAAATTTAGTAAGTGGCACTAAAAAAAAGAAGACAGTGAAAAGAAAAAAAGAAAAAAAGAAAAAAAAAATTTAGTCAAAGAAAAGAAAGTTAAAAGAAAAGAAAGAATGAAAGAAAATTTGAAAAGTATGTCGCAGAAGCGAAAAAAGAAACAGACTAAAGAACAAAAAAGAAAGAAAGAAAAAACAAACAAAAAAAAGAAAGAAAAGAAAAAAAAGTAAAAATTTAGTAATAATGAAACTAAAAGAAACAAACAAAAGAAAGATAATGAATTGGTTTAAAAAAAAGAAAGAAAAAAAGAAAAGAAAGATTATATAAAAAATTAGTAAGTGGCACTAAAAAAAAGAAAAACGGTAAGAACAAAATAAACAAAAAAAAAAAGAGATAAAATTTAGTAAGTGGCACTAAAAGAAAAGAAGACGGAAAGAAAAAAAAAAGAAAGAAAAAAAGAAAAAGAAAGAAAAAGAAAAAATTAGTAAGTGGCACTAAAAATGAAGAAAAACAGTGACTAAAAGGCAATTAAAATGGAAATAAAAAGCCTTTAAAGAAAATGAAGAAGAAAGAAAAATTTTAGTAATTTTCCGTTGGCATTTAGTAAAAACTAAGAAAAAAAAGAAAGAAAGAAAGAAAAGAAAAAAGAAGACAAAAGAAAGAAAAAAAAAAAAAGTTAAGCATTCTTCTGGCATTTAAAAAAAAAAAAAAAATTTGATGCAAACAGGAGAACTAAGTGGCACTAAAAAAAGAAGTAAGAAAAAAAGAAAGCAAAGTCTAAACTGAAGATACAAAAAAATTAATCTTATGTCCATATATTTTTCTTCATACTGTCAGATCTATATATATATAAATATATAATACGTATATATATATATATAGTACGATACGTAGACTAATCACACACACACACACACACACACATATATATATATATATATATATATATATATATGCAATTTATATATATATTATTTATATATTATATATGCGCTTATTGTAAATAAACGAAATAAACGGAACGTTGATCTTGAAAAAATTCAGTTATCTTTTTGATTAGTCTTACTCTTATGTGCATTTAAATTCTTCGAGATTGCTAATTATCAGAGAAACCAAAAAAACTGGAAGGGATTTGTACAGGTAGGAAGTACAGGAAGAGAAACTGTTTGAGTAGAAGTAGTTCAACATTAAAAGTTTGGGACCTAGTTGCCAATCGAGTAGCACTCTTCAATTCATCTAGTCGGGGCACCTGGAAAAAAAAACTTCATCAGACCGGTTACCACAAAAATATTTGCAGAGAATACAGAGGGAAGCCATGTCACGTCGGTGAGAAAGTGACTGAAGTCGAGATGCCTGGCCGGGATTTATTGCATTACAAATCCTTCTTTGGATTTTGCCAAGAAATCTCGATTGAGTTGTTTTGTCAGTCTGAATATTCTTTTAGTAACAGCTACTTCTTGATATCTACATAGATTGAATAATACCTTTTTCTTCATCTGTTGTGCTGCAACGGAAAAAAATATTTAATCTTAAACGACAGAAAAGTGTGAATGCCAAACACGTAAAAAAAATGAGAAAAAACACGTTTTTAAAAGAATTCTTTTCGCTTTAATTATATTAAAAAAAAAACAAACACTGAAATATTATTTTTATACTCCTATAGATTATAGAAATAAAGAAAAAAGTAAATAAAACAAATGTTAAGGTCTTCTATCTGCCGCGTTCCTTCAAGACGTTGGCGATCATGGCTCTCCACAATTTCCACTCATTTGAAGCTTTTTATAACTTTTTTTTTGCCATCTCTCCTCCGTCCTGTTTAGCCATCCATTCACTCAATCTCGCCAGGTAGATTGTACGATGTTTTCTTCTGGCCTTTCAAACTGTCCTGTGAGTATCATATTTTCCAAACCTTCTTTCCTCATTATGAGCCCCAGAATTTTCAACTCTCTCTTCCTGATTTAAGTATAAGTATTCTTCTGGGTATTTATTTTTCTAAAACATTGTCTTTATTAACATGTTCGACCCATGGCATTCTCAGAATCTTTCTGTAGAACCATACTTTCTGTTGCTTAATTGCTAGGTTTAATATTTTTTAAC